AGGGAGAATAGATGTACTCCTTGAAGTGGCATTCCTTTGTAGGTAAGATCCAGGCTCACAACTAGTTCTCTTCATCTCTTTTACACTTGCTCTGTGGCTCAGTAATTGCTATCATACTACTTTGGCAGTGCAATATGGTGGTTCTTAGAATCTATTTAATATTTTTTTTATTAAAGTACATGAACTTAAACAATATATTACTCTATAAATTTATATTAATTGAATGTAAAGTTACAGGTCATAGTTAATAATCTCTCTCAGCATCAAAAAGTTCATTGATAAAATAATTGTCACTGAAGGAATTGACAGTAGGGGCTGTGACAATGTTCCATATACTGTCGTGGGAGGGGCATCTTACCATGCATTGTTGTGGGAGGGACATCTTACCATGTATTGTTGTGGGAGGGACATCTTACCATATACTGTTGTGGGAGGGATATCTTACCATACATTGTTGTGGGAGGGACATCTTACCATGTATTGTTGTGGGAGGGACATCTTACCATGTATTGTAATGGGAGGTACATCTTACCATGTATTGTTGTGGGAGGGACATCTTACCATGTATTCTTGTGGGAGGGACATTTTACCATGTATTGTTGTGGGAGGGACATCTTCCCATATACTGTCGTGGGAGGGATATCTTACCATACATTGTTGTGGGAGGGACATCTTACCATATACTGTCGTGGGAGGGACATCTTACCATGTATTGTTGTGGGAGGGACAGCTTACCATATAGTGTCGTGGGAGGGACATCTTACCATGTATTGTTGTGGGAGGGCCATCTTACCATACATTGTTGTGGGAGGGACAGCTTACCATATAGTGTCGTGGGAGGGACATCTTACCATGTATTGTTGTGGGAGGGACATCTTTCCATATACTGTCGTGGGAGGGATATCTTACCATGCATTGTTGTGGGAGGGACATCTTACCATCCATTGTTGTGGGAGGGACATCTTACCATCCATTGTTGTGGGAGGGACATCTTACCATACATTTTTGTGGGGGGGACATCTTACCATACATTTTTGTGGGAGGGACATCTTACCATGCATTTTTGTGGGAGGGACATCTTACCATGCATTTTTGTGGGAGGGACATCTTACCATACATTTTTGTGGGGGGGACATCTTACCATACATTTTTGTGGGAGGGACATCTTACCATGCATTTTTGTGGGAGGGACATCTTACCATGCATTGTTGTGGGAGGGACATCTTACCATGTATTGTTGTGGGAGGGACAGCTTACCATATAGTGTCGTGGGAGGGACATCTTACCATGTATTGTAATGGGAGGTACATCTTACCATGTATTGTTGTGGGAGGGGCATCTTACCATACATTGTTGTGGGAGGGACATTTTACCATGTATTGTTGTGGGAGGGACATTTTACCATGTATTGTTGTGGGAGGGACAGCTTACCATACATTGTTGTGGGAGGGACAGCTTACCATACATTGTTGTGGGAGGGACATTTTACCATGTATTGTTGTGGGAGGGACAGCTTACCATATAGTGTCGTGGGAGGGACATCTTACCATGTATTGTTGTGGGAGGGACATCTTACCATACATTTTTGTGGGAGGGACATCTTACCATGCATTTTTGTGGGAGGGACATATTACCATGTATTGTTGTGGGGTCTCTGTTGTTAATTGTTTTAAGAAAGTTAAATCATGTCAACCTTTCACATTTATTTCCTGTGTTGGAGGTTCTAATGTTTTTGCAACCACTATATTTACTACTTTTTTAACATGGTTGATATCTGAATAAAGCTTGGTGCATTTGGTCAAAGCCTTTGGTAAACTTATATTAAGAGTAACAATGGGCCAAATGCTTCCTTTGGGGAGGAAGCCACTTGCACTGGGAGGCTGCTGTAGTGAGACCATTAACAGACACCTGTGCTATTCCTGTGAGAAATGACTCCACCCAGGAGATTATCTCTTAGTCTATATTTGTCTAGTTTGCGCTGGAGCAGGTGGGGACAATTTAATGAATATCTTTCGGAAGTCTGGATGTAAGATACATCAATGTTGCTACTTTTGTTAATAGCCTGCAACCAGTAATCTCAAAAAGTTTGGTCTTGCACAAGTGAACACTATGAAATTCATGTTGGTGGACCATGAATAAATTGTTTTCATTCATGTGTTTTAGAATGGTGTCCTTGAATATATTTCTATAAAATTTTACTTGGCATGGATGCTAGACTTATTGATTGGTAGTTTTCTGGAGCTTTTTAGCGCCTTTCTCCACTCTAGTCAAATATATGGATCTAGCTTTAGTTTCAGAGCTCTAGTACTTTCAAAAGAGTTAAGAATTGGTTTTGATCTTGTTGTTCTGGAATCACAAAACTTCCTAACTTTGAAAATATTCTCAACATTCAATTTTTAGTAAGATCTATTTTAAGGTAAAGTTTACGAACAAGTTAATGTATATTACTACCATTGTCACTACTGTGAACTATGTGTTTAAGCCTTTTTAAATAGAAATAATCCCTACATATCACCTGTTGCTATGCATTTTACAGAAAAATATGAAGATTTGTCGACAAATATTATACCCCAGGCTTAGATACAGTGGTAACAACTGCCCTGAAAGAGGTAATGGGGTCGACCCATATATATCTGAATTTAATAAATGTTGATGTTAACAAGCTGACATAGTTACCATCTTCACGTCTTTGACAGCGCCCCAAAGTTCGGGAAAACCGAGTGCTATTCACTCACTGTTACCCAGCTATAGATATACACACACATCCTAGTATACCTAGGTAACTGTTAGTATATTATAACCTGTAGCGAAAAGTCAAGATAAATGTAACTTAATAAGGCCGTCCCTTCTCTCAATTACCCACGCCCTGTGCCCTTATTAGGTTAAATACAGTGTATATATATTATACATTTGTTGATGTAAATCCTAGGGACTTTGTCCATCACCAACAGGGTGAAGCAACTCAAAGTCTCATTAGCTTTCAATTTGAATATGTTTGAAAATGTGTGTTATGAAAGATTTATGTTAACTTAATCATATCAGCCTTTAAATAATCAGTTCCTGATAAATAGCATGTGATCATTTTTCTTCATTGATAAAGTGTAATTTTCACTCTTTTTAAATACAGCTCATGATGGGTGAAATTTCAACATGGCCTGGAATCAAATATCATGAAAAATTGTATCTGAGATTTGCTCCACAGAACAAAAGTTTTTTTCTGGCAACTGACACCATTGATTAAGTGGATGTGATTCTGTTCAAGATTCTGTGAGTGCTTATTGATGGAAAGCAGATATTTCTGATTGCAGAATTAAATGGAACTGTTAAACGTAGTGTCACAGAAGCAGATGATAGCATACCTTGTTGAACAGGCAAACCCCAATATCAAAAAGATTACAGAAAAATATTTTTTATTAATTTTTTGACAAATCTAATAACAGAATTTATGATGATGATGATGAGATGAACCCAGATCATGTCATAATATTGCTCAAACTCATCAAGACAAATTCCCTGCTGTCCCTTTCACTTAAGATATTAAAACCAAATATAACGCACGAGTGCTCTGTGGCTGATTGGTGTCATAAAATATTGAAATCTGTTATCAGTAATTACTGTATATTAAATATTGGAATTAGTGTATTTGGACAGACGGTTGTCATTATTTTACCCAAACCTAATACAAAGATTCACCGCTGCTACAATGTAACCAAATCCAGTGGTTAGATTAATGTGCTGTCATATCATGAAACCAAACCCAAAATTAACACTCACATGATGCCACGTATTGTTGTCTGTTAGAAGGTCAAACAATCAATCACGAAGTGGTTGAAGGTCATCTGTGATTGAGTTAGTCTCCCCCATTGCTAGGGGTATGGAAATGCCTGGTGTATTTGGGTTATAAGTAATGGAGCAATGGTCTACACTGACATGAAGTGTATTACACACATATAAACATGGACAAGGATGACTGGTTCGATTACTATCACTGTGTTTGTTCATCTCTGCTAACTGATATACTCTTGGACAGTTGGCAGGTGGTCGGGTGGTGCAGTGTATAGCACACTTGCCGTTCACCAAGGCGGCAGGGGTTCAATTCCCCGATCAGACGTGAAATGGTAGGGGTTTCCTGCCCAATCATGTGTGTTTTCTCCGGGCAAGCAAGAGTGATTAATATAAGTTAAAATAACTTGTTTCATAATTGTTGTAAAATAAATAAAGTATATTTTTTTAACTCTTGGACAACAAATTCAAGTAAGTTTTCCTGAACAACTGACCAGTTTTTAACAAAACTTGCTATGTTGAAAACATAAAGGAAGGATGTGGCCGTTCTAGGGACTTAAGAGCATGGGTCAAATAGGGGGAAAAGGTGTACAGGTGACTTGATGGATTTTAACCAAGTTTAGCATCAGCAAGGCAACAAAGTTGAATGTTATAATAATTGAAGGCTCCAGCCAGCTGGGGGAGATGGGAAAAGGATCAGAATTTGACCTAACTTGGTAATTTAATTTTCAATAGTTTTTTCTATGGAAAGACTGCCCAAATTGTAACCATATTCTGTCTGAAACATTGTTGGGGCAAGGTAAGCATGTTTGTATAAATGGAGTTGGTATGACCAATGAGGCCAGAGGGACGTGGTATAAGATGGGGAAAAAATCAGTAAATTAATATTGAAAAGTTTTCTCCACCTGAACAACTGCACAAATTGTAACCTTATTTGGTATGAACCAGCACTGGAGAAGAAGATCATATGTGTTAAAAACGATTTAAGGTGGTGATTTAGAGCAATTTTGCTTCGAAATTGTTGAAAGTAAACATTGAGTAGTTATGATAATAAAATAATACAACTGGTGGTGCTGTCTTCAACAGACTTTTATAAAAATTTCACCCTGTAATTTGTTTGTCATTTTGACCATTTTCAATGAGAAGTTGGGGTATTAGTTAGCCACTTTTGATGGTTTGATATTTAAAGAATCCTTTTTTCTGACGACATGTTTCAGGCCTACAAAGAGAAACTTTATGGGAAGAAGTATGTATGGTTCATCATTGGCTGGTACCCCGACAACTGGTACAAGAAGTATGACCCCAAGGTCAACTGTACAGCAGACCAGCTGAAGGAGGCTCTGGAGGGCCATTTTGCCACCGAGGCTGTGGTCCTACACCAGGAGAACACAGCCACTCTGTCACACATGGTAATACAGCCTAGGTCTTGGTATTATCAAGGCCAGAGATATTAATGTTATACAGTATGACTCTTGTTGTAGATTGGTGTCTTTTCTGATCTTCCCTCATCAGGGGACATCATCATCAGATGTGGTTTTGTTTGTGACTAAGATATTGATACCGATCGCTTTGTTTTACTGTGTTTTATTGATATGTTGTATTATAAAGGTTGGGTAATGCATTGGATGGACTAAACTATAAATCAGGAAGCATTTATAGTGTGGATATATATTTTAAGGTCCCCGAGACACAATAGACATAGTCTTATGTGACAACGACCAACCATTCTCATCAGAAACTCTTTGTCTGTCCACAAAAATTCACAAGTTCAACTTCTTTTCAAAAAGTGTTCCACCAATTCTGATACAATTAGTAGGAAGATTATGAACTATATGGTGATTTACAACCTCTTCAAACCTCTTCAGGGGTCGGAGGGGCAGAGCCCAAAGCAGTAGCTAAAACTTCAACAATCGTTTGTTTAGAACAAGAAATCCAAGAATAATCTTCATGAATGGAAAGGTCCTCCAGGATGGAATCCTGAAGTTTTTTGTCATCTTTGTTAATTACGTCACCCCTTGGTCACCCATTTATTTACTCCTGGGGAGTAGATACAGATTACTGTAGCTTGCTAAGGGGAAGTAACACTTATACATTTTATTTTTAGTAGGAAATAATTCAAACTTGGTTGGAATTATCTTCATATAATTGCAGTTTGATGGTTGTACAAATATTAATAGTTGACCCACCCCTGAGGCTTTAGGGATAGGGTCTAAAGGGGTCAAATTAACTAAAACTTCAATGATCTTCTCTATATCCAGAAATCCTCAAATCAAACACTCCTCCAGAGTGGAATCCTTCGGTGCTTTATCAAAATTGTAAATTTCATTACTCCATTGGGAGGGGCTAAAGTTTACTATAGTTTATACAGGGTAATAACATTTTTTGTTTGTTCTCAGTGGGACAAAAATCAATCTCAAAAGGTTGGAATTATCTTGGGATAGCAGTTTAATGGTATGAAAAGTAAGACCCTTCAAGGTCATAAGGCTTTGGGTTAATTATGCTGTAATTCTTTATTAATCAATATTTTATAACTAGTATACTTAAGATTGGAACAGACTTTCCAAGCATTATCAAAGTTTTACTTAATACAGAAACAATGAACATATTGTACGTGTTGTAATGTTTCAAGTCCATCTGGGCCCTTTGTCAAGCTAAAATCTTTAAACTTTGCGACACGTTTAATTCATACATCGCATGTGTATAAAATAAAACTTTGATTGTACCTTATTTACAAACTGATGAATCTTATTGAAGATTTTCCATGTATTTAGGTTTTACCTACTTTCTGACAGTTACCTGTACGTGAGCCTCCTTTGTATTGGGCAATCCCCATCATCTTTTTGTGGGTTAATATAATATATTGCTTTGCATTTGCGTTCATTTCCACATCACGTCACAAAAACAGCACTAACATACAACTATAGCACAACTCTAGCTCCCAGTCAGGCCCATGGTATCCTTGTTCATTAACAGATCTTTTCCAGCAATTTCTTTTTAAATTAATGAAATAACAGATCAAGTATAAGACTGTTCAGAATTTTCTGGAATGAGGCAATATTGATGACAATTAAAATTCAGATGTTGAAATGCTATTAAAATATTTGTATCAAGGTCCCTTGTTACTAAATATTGTATGGACATGGCCTGATTAGAAACTGAAAATCTAGGCAATTACGAAAGTCATATAAAAAATGTGTTCCTAAGTGTTCATATGCCATAGGGTCATGGAATATGATAAACAAGTATACATCTTTGTTGATATTGTAGACCTCTCGGGAGTTTACAGAACGGCTTGACATGATTCTGAAGGAACGTAACATCACAGACATGTCCCAGGTGGTCGGCTACCCGGAGGCACCTTTTGCTTATGACGCAGTGTGGGCACTTGCACTTGCCCTCAACAGGACCAGCATGAGGTAAGTCTCGGGAAGAAGGTTTGCTAAAATAAACAGCAGCATGCTAATAGTAAACCAATGTACTTACCTGGTACAGTGTAGGGAGATAAGCTGATGTGGTGCTTCTTCCATCATCCATCTGTCCTCTGTTATTCATTGTCATCCATCAGCTTTTCTTATATATATAACAACATCTCCCCCCAAGCTTTTGAGCAGATTTCAACCAAAATTTGGTGCTAGCATCTTAAGGCCTTGGGGATAAAAAAAATACATAAATAAAAGGGATTACCCTTTTAGGGGTTGAGAGACTGGGTCAATAGGGGTCAAATAGGCTGATTTGCTTTAAATGACATCTCCCAAAGTACAGAACAAAATTGTAGAAGAAGCATGCCTAGCACATGGGGATCAAATTTTATATCAAGAAAAGAGCCAACTCTCCTGGAAGCTGAGGGGCTGGGTAAAAGGTGTCAAATTTGTTGGATGAGCAAATCAGAACTCTTCTTCCTTCAAGCCCAGCACAGATCTTTGGGACTTTCCACCTAAAGAAGACATACCACCACACACTTTTGCTGTTAAGCAGGTTTTAAGTGGCCACATCTGTGTTGTACAACTGAAGATCCAAATATCATGGAAGTAAAACAAAACATGTATGTCCTGCTGTTTTACAGGTTGAGTAAACACAACAAGAAATTGGAGGATTTTAACTACTACAGCGAAGACATTCGTCGCGAGATTTATTCAGCCATGAATGACACAAGCTTTCTGGGTGTATCTGTAAGTCAACCCGATGCCCTCAATCTCAATGTCTCACTCTAAAGCCTGAAACCTGTGTTTAGTCAGTAAAGAAAAGTGCAATTTGCTCAATAAACTCTCAGAACTCCATAGAAACAGACATTTTCTGTCTGCAAAACAAGTTCATGAAGCATTCATGAGACTCCATTGTGAAAGGTTGAATAGCATGTGTGGTACTGCCTTCTCAGATTGTCTATCTAGGATATTTTATTAATCGCACTCCAGTTCAAATATAACTTTGAAGTATTGATTCATGTTTTCAATTTGTTTTCAGGGGAATGTGGCCTTTTCCTCTGAGGGAGACAGAATAGCTTGGACTCAGATAGAACAGATGTCTAGTAAGACCTGACAGTTTGTGTATTTATCACTGAGAACACACTTTTCTCTTTTCTGGTTCAGGTTTTATAGCTTTGGTGAATGGGATTGTTTTTGTGCTTACTTCAGCTTCTAGATAAATTAAGTGCTTTGCTGTCTTAGTACACTGTGTACGACCTCTCATCTAAGGATGGATCGTTTTTAATGTTTGTATAAACAGTTCTTGTGCAAATCAAATACCCCAGACTACCTTCATTTTCCTGATTAAAAAAATAAATGTCACAATTGTTCTTCAGAGAATATATACATGAAGATTTTAATTTGTGAAATGACCAATAGTGGAATCCCAAGTATGTATTATGTGGTATCTCCAGTACAAAAGATTATAAGGGATATTGTAATTATTAGGGCCCCGTATCGGAGATACGGGTGCCCTATAGTAATAACCCTGTCTATCTGTCTGTCCGTCCACAAATTTTGTTCCTGGCTGATAACTTTAGTATTTATTGACCGATGTTCATGAAACTTGGTCAAGATGTTCAGTTGACAAAAATACACATTGAGGAAAAAAGTCAAGGTCAAAGGTCAAGGTCATAAGGTTCAAAGGTCAAGGTCAAATTTTACATCTTTTCACTGAAGCAAAGTTGATCAGGATTAAACAAGGAGTCAACTGACCAAAGGTCAAGGTCATTGGGTCAAAGGTCAAGGTTAAATTTTGTACCTTTTCCCTGGGGAACATTTTGTTATGACATTATGAAGCAATGTTGTTCAGAACTTAACTCAGAGTCAACTGACCTTAGGGCCAGGTTACGCGGTCCAAAGGGTCCAGGTCAAGTTTTGTATTTTTCACTGAAGAACATTTTGTTATGATATTAAGAAGCAAAGTTGGTCGGAATTAAAGAAAAAGTCAACTGACCAAAGATCAGGGTCACTGGGTTAATGGTTAAGGTCATTTGGGTACAAAAGTCAAAGACAAAGTGGATCTTTGACTTTGACCCTGGCTCTTGATGGAGGAGGTATATAAGGTGAAATAAAACAAATCAAAGCTAACAAATGAGTATTGCACTGGTATTTACATTTCTGTTAGCCCAGCAAATATGGAGGTGGAAGGAAACAAGACTCACATCATAGTACATATAAAATGTATATTTTGCTTCCTTGCAATTCTTTTTGAAGTTCAAATGTTAAACGTCAAGCTCAGCTATATGGGCAGATTGCTTCTTGATGATTATGGGGGATATATTGCCACAAGACGGGGCCCTTACTGACCTGTCAGTGTTCTAGTTTCAATCTGGTTCCGCTGCCCTTCTGGGTCAATCAAAGTCAACAATTAACCTTCAAACATAGCTTCTGTTCTATTCTGCTCCTATGTGTGGGATTTTATAAAAATGATAAAGGTCAAGACAGAGCTACTGTAATTAGTTTCAACACAATAACTTCAAATTCCTATTTGTCATTCTAACTCAGACTTTATAAATAACATCCTTACCCAATTAGTGCTTGCTGGAGAATGCTTCAAGTTCAAAGGTCATCATTATAGTCAATAGAAACTCACTTTCTGTACAAAACATGAGATCCTTTGGCCAGGGGTCAATCTGATATTAAAGCATCCTATAGGTTTTCATTGCCCATTCAACTTGCATGGGTTGTTGGTTAGGTAAAAAGGTCAGATGTCAAGGTCACTCAGAAAATGTCTTTCTGTACAGTCATGGGTCACTTTGGATCAATTCACCTTCCAGGTCAATCTTTTCAAGTCTAAAGAAGGTCATCATTAATAACAGTTTATCCTATTTTAAGTCTTCTAAATCCTCGTCTTCATAAGCGTAGCAGTATTTAGTAAGGGTATCACTCAGCAAATTTGTATTTACCGGGGTAGGTGTATTTGATTAAATGTTTTCAAGATGTTTTTATCTTTAATTCACTGTCCTTGTTTGATGTGCATTTGTATATGGCTCTTGTAATTATAAGTAATCTACTTTATTTTCTACAAAAAAATACACCAAACACAAGTCATAGTTTCAGTGAAGATAATTTGTATGCAAATATTGTAGTTACCAGATAATGATGTAATGAATATAAAGCTTCACATCAGTTTTGACCGTGAGAGTTAATGTCAAATAAAATGACCTGAAGGTCATCCTTTTTAAAGCTTTTGATCAGGTCCTGGTGTGGAGCATATCTCTAATAATGTTTAATGATGTTATTTTGAACTTACTTTTTCAAAATTATCAAGCTGATAGTTACGTATCAAAGCTGACCAATTGTAATGATCTGTTGTAGATGGGACATACCAAAAGCTTGGTTTCTATGACTACAACACAGACAACCTGACCTGGATTAAGAAGGAGAAGTGGATAGGTGAGGATGTTAGTGTAGCCATGTTTATCAGTAGGGATAACCTGTATAGTATTCAGTTAATGTATGGGGTTATGGGGTTGAGGGATATAGCAAGTTTCTGGTGTCCCGAGACCAGGTCTATTACCGAGGCGAAGCCGAGGGAAAAAGGCATGGTCAAGGGACATCAGAAACTTGCTATATTTCTCAACCCCATACTTTAACCGTTTTATTATACCGATACACACTGGAGAGATAGTTTTAACTAGAAAATATTTGTAAACCATAAGATGTATACCTTCACGTCCCAACTACCCTTTTGATGGCAATGGAGCCAAATGCTTCCGAGTTCGGTAACAAGCTCCGCCCACCTCTCGCCTGATTGGCTCGGTGGAAACACCCGAGTGTAGGTGTGTTTTAGTTCAGAAGGTGTGTTTTAGTTCCCAGACTAACACACAGGACTAAAACACAGTCAGGCAAAAGT